AATAATTCATATAGACGAATAAAATCGCTAGTGTTTCCTTCCTAAACGCCGAGCTGCGCCTACCTGGTTCAGGAACGCGTGATTACCTGCAAACCGGTTTCGAGCTGTTGGCTCTCATCAGTACAGGGCTGTCCCAGATAGCTTCTTGACCGCTATCTGGAGCTTACCTGACCCAATGTAAACGCATCTCATCATTTATACTCCACGAGGCGTTCAACGTCCGCGAAATGAAACGCGAACGCCGAACGCCACCGGACATGGAAAGGACGAGTTGTTCATTATACTTTAGAGGAAATCAACTCTGAAAACTTTCTGATTAGTAATGCTCATCGATGAAAATTAATCTGCATCACAATAAAAAACAACCTCTTCTAACTAACATTCTATTTACCCTTCTTTAATTTAGAATCCTATTCACCATCAACTGTTAATACCGTACACCAATCTTCAATTTAAAGGGTTTTAAAGTTATAGAGCAAATATCGTATGTATTTAACCTGTCCTCTTCAAGGCGTAACTCCCTTAGAAAGCATTTTTGGACCCATATTGATAGAAACTTTCTGCCTTATTTGTATGCAAGAATTACGCCCCCAGAAGGATGTCGCTCACTTTTGAATCACCCTGTATAGCGTTCTTACTCTTTGATTGCATTCGAACAACTCGAGCTTGCTGATTTGTTTTTCGTCTTTTTTTCACAATCTAACCAACCTATATTTTTCTAAATGATATCATCTTGAGATATTTCCAGTACAATGACACTACTTACAATGTTGATAACATATTATGTCCAATGATATTTCATATAATTCATCGAAAATAGTATGTTATATTGACTAATATCGTGACCTATAATGAATATTTCAAAAGCATGCAAGGAAATTTACACCCTCCTCACCGAAGTTAAGAAAACTGCAGACGATACCAAAAAGGAAATTCAGAACCTAAGACAAGAATTTCAAACCAAAATTGAAGTTTTAGAATCCACTGTTCAGAGCTTAGAGTCGGAAAATTTATTACTAAAGTCCCGTCTGTTATCCACTGAGAGACGTTTACGTAAAAATTCCATTCTAGTGTTTGGTCTCAAGTTGGACAATACGCCACCTGTGGAATTTGTTATCAAATTCATTTCCGAAAAATTAAAAGTGAGATTGAACAAGACAGAAATAAATTGTTGTTACATCAATAAAAGAATTGATAGGTATCCAGTAGTACTAGACTTGGTATCGAACCTAAAGAAGTCCGAAATATTTTCAAAGCTATCTCTGCTGAAGAATACTGGTGTGTCTTTTGTTGAGGACCTGCCATTTGCAGACAGACAAGATAGAAAACTTTTGGTTGCTCACCTCAGAGCAGCTAAATCGAAAAATCTGGTAGCGAAGATCCGTAAAAATACACTGATCATTGACGGAGAGGTGTTTACTCTGTCTGAGCTGGAGGCCAATAACGATCTACAGCAAAATCAAGTACCAAGCTACAGTTCTGACCAAACCAACAGTTCTTCCCAAAACCACGCCACTGCAGCGAATAGTTCTAACCATTCCATGATTCTTCGTCGTATGCAAAATTAAATTTGTTATATTACATCCCATTCAACAATTTTTGGCTACTCGAGTTTTGTCATGTAATTAGATGAGGTTATTAAATTTTCCATTTTTCAGCATAAAATTATAGTTCAGAAGTAATGTTATTTGCTCATCTCAATTTGAGGTCAATTTTTACAGGGTTCGTGGCACTTGAGAATTATATTGTTTCAAAAAATATAGATGTATTCGGAGGATCAGAAACATGGCAACATAATGTTGACCCTAATTATTTTAGTATCGAACACTATAAGCTGGAACGAGTGGATAGAGATGGTAGAGGTGGAGGAGTTCTATTTTATATTAAAAACTCCATCCGATATGAAGTTATTCTCAGGGAAATATCGCAAAATACAGAACAATTATGGATCAAGCTAAGAGCTCATGGAAAATGTTTCCTTATTGGCGTGCTGTACAGACCCCCAAAAAGTATTATCTCAAATTTTCTTGACTGTCTAGATGATTCTGTTTCACAATTGCTACCTGAATGTGATAAAATCGTAGTTCTTGGGGATTTAAATATAGACCTCCTCACAAACAACTTGAATACAGTGCACTTTAATAATAATAATAATAATAATGGATTTTAAACTTTCGAAACTTTCTAGAGTCTTATGATCTGATTCAATTAATAAATGAGCCAACCAGGATCACAGCATCAAGTCAAACTTTACTTGACGTCATAATTACCTCTGCAACTGAAAATGTCCCACCTTATGAAGTGACTAATTTACATGATGTTTTTGACCATTGTGCCGTTTCATGTCAAATATTGAAAAAAACTTCGGAGTATTCTTCCAAATTCATTACTTATCGAGACTGGAAAAATTTTGATAAAGAGGTATTTTATCAACATATTAATGATTTCAATTGGGATTACATTTATACAATAGCTGGCCTCGAAGAAAAACTGAAATTTTTTACAGAAAACTTGAGAATGATTTTTGATATACATTGTCCTGTTCGCGAAGCTAGAGTTTCAAAAAAATCTGGCCCTTGGCTAACATATACGATCAAAGTTATGATTAAGCTGAGAGACAAAGCTTATAATAGATTCAAAAAAAGTCATAACATCGCTCACTGGAACTATTATAAAGAACTGAGGAATTACGTCACAGCTGCAATTCTCAGAGAAAAAAAAGCGTATGTTGAATTCGCGATACGCCAAAACGATAGCAAATTGACCTGGAATCGGCTCAGATCCTTGAAAATTGTAAATGAGAACAATTCTTATTCAATACCGCCTGAATTGAGAAAAGCTCACGATATAAATTCACATTTCGTCAGCCTACCTAACATTGATAAGACTGAGGATCAATATCGATTGCTGGATAAATACTCCACCATCCCGCGAGGCGAAACTTTTGAATTCTCATCTACTACAGATAAAGAAGTTATAGACTGTATAAATTCTATCAAATCTCAGGCTGTGGGATGCGACAATATATCGAAAAGAATGTTCGTTCTCGTTAGTTTTCACTTGGTTGAGTATTTAACCCATATAATTAATACAGCCTTGATGTCAGGTTTGTTTCCGGAGGCGTGGAAATGTGCCATGGTGCTTCCCTTACCCAAAGTTGCTAATTCCTCGTCATACTCTGACTTGAGGCCCATCAGTGTTCTTCCCATGCTTTCAAAAATCTTGGAAATGGTGATAAAAAAACGAATTTCTGACTATGTATTTACAAAAAATATCATTCCTGTTTCACAATCGGGGTTCCGGCAGCATCACAGTACAACTTCTGCTTTAGCCTGTATCACGGATGATATACTGATCAGTACTGATAAGAACGAAGTGACATGCTTAGTATTATTGGATTACAGCAAGGCTTTTGACACTCTGGACCCCCTTGTACTGGAACTAAAACTCAGATGCTTTGGGTTTGGACCTAGGTCTGTCAAATTAATTGCCAATTACTTGAGAAATCGATCGCAGTATGTTGTAGTTGATAACCAGACTTCCGAAGTGAAACCGCGAACTCTTGGTGTACCACAGGGTTCAATTCTTGGTCCACTATTGTTCTCTATTTATATTTCAGACTTTAACGAATTTATGAAATTCTGCCAAGTACATCAGTATGCAGACGACACACAGCTGTACCTTAGTTTTCAAATAGAAGACCTTCACCTTGCTATGGATCACATCAACGCCGATCTGGCGATTTTGTATAATGTTTCATCCGCACACAACTTAAAACTGAACGCCAGCAAATCGAAGCTCTTGGTATTTGGTCCCAAACACAAACGATTAGTCTTCGAGCAACTGAATAATATACAAATAGCAGGTGATGCATTGCCAGTTGTAGAGGAATGCAAAAATTTAGGGTTATGGCTAGACAGCGATATGAGATATACAAAACATGTCAATCATCTCAGTAAAATATCTTATAATACTCTGAGAAGTTTATACCCGCAAAGAAATATTCTTAGCAATGAGCTAAAATTACATTTATGTGAATCACTGATTATGTCTAAACTCTCATACTGCGACTGCATTTATGGCCCCGCTCTTCTAATTACAGATCAGAAGCGTTTACAAAGAATACAAAACTCATGTATGAGGTTTTCTATAGGAATTCGTAAGTTCGATCCGATTAGCCAGGCATATCGAGATACCAAAAAACTCAAACTTCCTTTGTTACGTGAACTGCACTTTTTAACATTCACCCATAAGATTTCAATTACCAAAAAGCCTTCTTATTTGAAGGATAAACTGAAACGGTTCGAAAATATAAATAATTTTCAGACACGTAACAGGCGCCTATTAGTCATTCCTAACCACTCTACTGCCATCTTCAAGCGTAGCTTCTCCTACGTGGCTTGCACGCTTTATAACTCCCTTCCCCCAGAGTTCGCCAATTATACTATAATTAATTTCAAGAAGAAACTTAAAGATCACCTTTTATCAAACATGTAGGCAAATATGTTCAATTACGCGGCCATGTCTCTGGTTTATGATAGAGGTTCATATACTGATATAATGACCCGATATTCTTATAATCATCGATTTATTTATTGAAATTCCTTTGATAAAATTTATATTATTTCATCATTTATCAAATATTTCACCCATAATTTAACGTTAATTATATTTCCAGGGTTAAGTTGAAAAACACTGTTTTACAGTGACACTTCACCCATTCAGTCACATCTTTTTTGTTTCTTTTGTTTTTTTGAGATATATGTATTTATGTCTTATATACTATTGTGTGATTGAATAAAGTCCAATTATTATTATTATTATTAATATATGATTATAGCTATTTTTCAATCTCACATATTAGCCGCATTGACTTGTCATTGAAACGAAGAAGTAACAGTTAATGCACCATCTTTATTCCATCTTGCCTTATATATAATCTATACTAATGAGATCTGCAAAACTTATGAGCCACTGCTAATCCCATCACAATATTTCAGGTATGTCAAGCGAACGTTGTCCTGAAGACACGTATAGAAGCCGGTAGAATATACGACTTTACGCTGGAAGTTCGGAGTCAAAGAAACGAATTCGCTACGATGGACTGTTCCTTTCGTGCGACAAACGCAACCACCCCAGTGCACAAGATTTTCCCAGGGGCGCCAAGTCTCCTCAGCATCTCAGAGGGCGCACGAAGGAATGCCGAGCTTGGTACGGTCCTGGTCAGGGGCAATCCAAATAGTTCGAAGACGGTATTGCTGGAGCTGTGGGGATCTCCGGAATTCGGACTACACCAGAAGTTGGTCACTGACTGGGATGCAGAGGGGACTGTTCTACTGTTGAGTGCTTTGGATTATGAAAAGAAGAATATGCATCATTTGACAATTTTGGCAAATGTAAGTGATGTTGTCTTGGTTTCATTTTCACGATATCCTCTATATCTCTACGAATTATATTGTGTGAAAAAAATTCTCACAAACATACTGGGTTATAATATGAGCCATATATATGCTGATCATTATCATTTGATACCTATCAACCAACAATGAATTGAAACAACGAGATATACAGGTTGTCCGCTAAAAGGAGGTCAATCCATTAACCATATATTCCTTGAACAAAAACAATATGAGTCTCTAAATACCATTTTTCATTTTGGCCCTTTATATTCGATATACAGTGTCAAAGTTGGAAATTAAAAACTGTTTTTTTTAATTACTCGCGTTTTTAATGGGATAACAATCTCAAAATTGGTATATTACTTCAGCACAAAGAGTTACATCGTGTGAGGAAAACAAAACAGAAAATAACTGTCAAATATCGAAATACTGGGGGTCAAGTACACACTTACCCCCATATTTTTTTGTACGTGCGCTTATGACTTCCTATTCATTTTTCTTCAAGTGTTCAATCTTTGAGTATTTTCTGTCTCCTGTGAAATTTCGACAATTTTTTTTTAAGATAATTCGAAAAGTACCTACTGGTTATTGTTTGATGCCTATGCGGCTTACGGTAATCTCATAATGTTCACATACTCCTATTTATTTCGACGAAATTGGAAGAGGGCGTAACTTTTTACGTACGAAAAGGTAAATATGGAAATACCGGGTGCTCAGAGCGAATGTGTCAGAATAATTTTTCCAAAAAAAAAATTGATAGAAATTCAACGCGTCTAAATAAATTCCTCGATATGACCTCTAACTTTTTGAATACACATGCGAGCCCTTTCAATTGAAGAAAATCTCATTTTTTTGAAATCGGTTCGAGCGGTTTTGGGGAGTGCGGAATTTTTTAAAAATATTTTCGAACTCCCCCCCCCGTATGGTATGTCGAGCGCGAACAAACGGATAATGAAATCGAAAAAAAAAATTAAAAAATATAGTCATATAGCTACTTGATGAATGAAATAGCAGATCAGGATTGTCTGGGGATTTATGAAAGATTTTGTGTATGAGCCAAATATTTTTCAAAGGCTAAGATTTTCTTTAATCAAACGGGCTCGCATGTGTATTCAAAAAATTAGAGGTCATATCGAGCAATTCATTTAGACCTGTTGAATTTCTATCAATTCTATTTTTTTTGTGAAAATTATTTTAACATATTCGCTCTGAGCACCTGGAATTTCCATATTAACGTGAAAAGTAACGCCCTCTTCCAATTTCGAAGAAATAAATAGGAGTATGTGAACATTATGAGATTACCGTAAGTCGCATAGGCATCCAACAATAACCAGTAGGTACTTTTCGAATTATCTTAAGAACAAATGATCTTATAGTAATTTAACAAGAGACAAAAAATACTCAAAAATGATAGAACACTTGGAGAAAAAAAGATAGGAAGTCATTAGCGCACCTACAAAAAAATATAGTGGTAAGTGTGTACTTGACTCCCAGTATTTTGAATATTTGACATTAATTTTTTGTTTTGTTTTCCTCACACGATGTACCTCTTTGTGCTGAAATAATGTATCAATTTTGAGAATAATATCTCATTAAATACGCGAGTAATTGAAAAACCCAGTTTTTGAGTTCCAACTTTGACACCCTGTATATCGAATATAAAGGGCTTAAATGAAAAATGGTATTTAAAAACTCAAATTGATTTTGTTCAAGGAATATATGGTTAATGGATTGACCGCCTTTTAGCGGACACCCTGTATATCATACAGTAAATATAACACTTAGATCATATACAGCGCCTTCATTGAATTGAGTGCTTTTGTAGAGTTGTGGACGAATTTGTTGAAAATTCAGAATGATTCGCGTAGGAAAAACTGCGTCATCTGCATTTTTTCAAAGGTGACCACATTTTACGAGAGTAGTCAATTTAACGAACGCCCTGTTTTGTACCCATGTGTGATATAATTGTGAATTCAGCTTCTCATAGAGATTACAGACATTCAATAATATTTGGGTTGTTCCGTTTGAAAAATGTGTCGCGTACGTCATAATTCATTTCTCCTTATAAATATATCAAATTGAAACTGAAAGTCTTTCCTGCTTAAGAGGATTTCTCAGAAATGGATAATATGGATGAGAATCAATTTATCCACCACTTCATGAGAGTAATGTGCAATTCCGAATTCAGCTTTCCACATAGGTATGTATAGTTACATTGAAAAAATAAATTGACGTGTTTGTCATAACTCAAACGTGAATCACTCTGTGAATTTAATTATTCATTAATTATATGGAGCATTGAGAATGAAATTCGACCTGTTTCAGCAGATTCCTCAGGAATGGATAAGTTGGCTGAAAATAGATTTATTCTACAACAGATGATGAAAATGTAAGAAATCGACTGATTTTTCTCATTTGGTCGAATGGAAGAATAGACGACCTTGTAAGGACGTCATTGAGACCATCAGAATTAAACATCAATAAGACGTCATGAAATATGACAGCATTTTAAGGTCTTATATTTGGGTCAAAAGACGTCGTGGATCAAATATGATGTGAAGTAAACGTCAATATGACGTCTCCTTAGGTTACTCATCGGCTACCTGGGATGATATAACCTATATTCACTTGAGCTGAAACCACTTTATTCTGTGTATGAGTATTAAGGATGAACATACAATGTCAATGCTTAATGAATGCGAAATATAAACGACTTCAATAGCGTTTGGCTCGCAGACCAGAGGCCTGGGGTTCGATTTCCTGCAGCGCCGGGACTTTTTTCAAATCCTCCTCATCCAAAGTGTGTTTGATGTAGAACACACATACGTGTGAGTGACATGACGTCACACTCTCATTCCGAGTGTGCTCTAGACTACATCTCGCCGACACTTGCTTATTCTGGTAGATCCCTGTAACCTCTGTCTGGCCATATTACCTGAATTAATGTCTAAGTTACTATCTATATGGCATCTTTACGTCTACAACCTCGGTCTGCCTCCTGCCTAAATGATCACGAACCCATCAGTGATCGTAAAATAACTTTGTAAAGACCCCCTGTAGTAAGCCAACGAACAAAAAAAGTTGGAGACTTTACAACGGTGAACGTAAGAACAAAAAAATGTTGATAGATGCATCACATCGAACCTCTATACAGGAACCAAGAAAATGTAGAGAATTTCTTCATAATTTTTGTGAAAAAAGAATATCGCGTCACTGTTATTAGATCCCGTATATTGCTATTTTTTTCGTACAATTTTGAATCAATGTGGGCTAACATGTTCAGTCTCGCCAGTTGGCGGTACTAGAGTTCTTAAATGTACTTGAAACTGCTGATTTTGTCGTTTTTCAGTTCCTAAATGTACTTGAAACTGCTGATTTTGACGTTTTTTGTATATCAGAGTACGGACACTATGACAAGCACTGACAATCAGACATAACCACAAATAAGTTGATGCAAAAAGCGGGAACTGACAGTTCACGGACGTACATGACATAAATTTCAAAGGTTTGACCATTGTCGATCTAAATGAAAACCTAGTAGGCGACCTAGTACGCGAGGAGGTACAATATTGTCTGTTCTTTGAATCAAAATCTGTCTGCCTGTCAAGTGGCGCTGGCATCCTGAAAATGGAAAAAGCTCATTTGTTTCTGTCAAAATAGACCATATTAGGTTGATATTCTCTTCTTCTATTTTTCTCCAATATGTACTCAACCACAGACGTGCTTTCCATCATTGACGTGATATTTGATAGGAAGACGATAGAGAAGATTCATGTAATCATAAAATTATTTTCTGACAGTTGTCATTAACTTATAACTTCATCTTTGTGGATGTGTTGAACTTTGATTTCCTTTCTTGGAAATTACAATTATACCTATACCTAATCATTTCTTCTAGTATTGGTTTTCTATCAGAGTTTGTTGATTGGTTTGTGAGTGCGATTGTGTTATTTTGCAATGTCATCTGAAAACTGCGCACTCCAGGAGGTGAAGGTGTAATTGAATTATCAAGACATGGTTTCCCCAATCCCCACTGTTGTGAATTTGAGCCTCAAATCCTGAGGCGTCAATGGGTTCACGCCATATTCATTGGATATCAAGGTGAACTTTTTTTCTTGAATCACATAATATTTGGGACTTAATGATATTTATATTTCAGGAATGTGAGTTTTTGAAGTAAGCGAACATGATACTATATGTTTCCAACATTTTAAGGGAACTGTTTCTTGCCAATGAAGAATAGGAAACGGTTTTGGAAAGAGAGTACGGTCGTCCCAAGTTTGTTCAAGGTAGAAATATATAAATAAAATGGTATTTAACAAATTTGTACCTATACTAACTAACTAATTATTAGTTTCGGTATGAAATTCACCAAGAACTTGACTTTGGTTCCTCTAAAAGTTGTTCCATAGTCAAAAGTCATTAAATTCATTTCAGAATGGTACAGGACATTGAAACTAGGGACAATAGTTTTATATTTTCAGACTCGGCAATGTTGTTTGGAATATGATGCTGAAGAGGAATTCCTGCCTTAAGGAACAGGACCTGACGATGAAGAAGCATCTGAGGAGGAAACGGGCATTTGAACAGATATTATAGAATGATAATAAATAATAATAAAGTTCATTCAAAATGTTGACTTAAATATAAATTAAAAATATACATATTGGTATTAAATATTCCTGTGGTTTAATTTGTGCCAATAATAGACACATCTTCTCATATTTAGTGAAGTTCGTAGCTTCAATAAGATGATTTAATGAAAAATAATCATTGTTTTACTTCAAAAATACTTCACCTATATACAATATTTGTACAATATATATAGTGTTTTCAAACTTATCTGCCAATACATCTGTACAACAATAAACAGGGTATCAGAAGAGAACAAACTATATAGTAGAATAAAAATTGAAATAATTCTTCATAATTATGTACAATTTATTAAGAAAATTAAATTGTATTGCCATTCATACAATACATACAAGTTATATTCCAATAAAAAATTCTAAATATCCCAGCATCTTGACAAAGAACCCTGAACAATAGAATACCATATATCTGAGGATGATTCCTATACAATCTTGAAATCACTTTACTCTAGTGAAATTCTGAGTGGCTCACTACGAAAATGGTCCTGAGTGTGCTGGAGTGGAATATCACATGTTCCTCATCATCTAATTGATTGCTTGAAAAATGGATAAATTGAATATACATTGGGGTGTGTATAATTTGTAGCCTAGAATGAAATGCCTGGCTATTTCCAGCAAACAAATCGTTGTTCTTACTGCTTATCTGGATTCAGCTCATCGAACTACAGGATGAAAAGTTTCTGATTTTATTCACTGCCCCATTTTCTTGTGTGTTTTTTCATAAAATCTTGTGAACTGGATATTTTTGTAGCTCGACTTTCAAGGAGGTACCTATCTATAAAAAATATAATGATATTTTGTGTTTGGAGCAGAATATCCATGAGACATTGATGAAATAACCAGATTGAGTCTAACCTTAGTGCTTCTATATATTTATTTCAGATGGTAAATTTTCCATTCTGTTCTGGAACATCATCATCCTTCTGGTACATTCCTTCTGAACATTACTCACATAATGATTTCTAATGTGATACTTCCTCATCACTCATAGTTTTCCGTTTTTCAACTGAAAAGCTATTAATGTAAGTACTCTTCGCTGTAGGTAGGTACCTGAAATTTTCAAGTATATAGTGATTCCGATGTGTACATGGTTTACATCACTAAAGACATGTTTTCACTGCAAATAATGGAATTTCACGAATTATAGAGTAACTTATCAAAAATATAGAAGGAAAAAAGCAGCCCCTACCTTTCTGCTTGGCTTGCATGTCGAAAAAGTGTAATAGCACTATTGAGTTTCCGAAGTTTCCACAGTTCCAACTTAAATTCAAGTTGCATCATGAATCATACTTATACAGCATTGCCTAAACATCTTCCTGCTTCCATTCAAGTATAGGTAGATGGTTTTCATACTTGATAATATCCTTCGTGATAATGTTTCATTTTCGGGATTCCACATGACAGATTTTTATTTACAAACTTGACAGGACCATGAAAAATGTTACGGTTAGGTCTGACAAATGAATAACTTAGTTTACTTGGTTCACATTGATGTCTCTGTACTACTGAACGCCTTCATTTATTTTTTCAAAGAACAGACAATATTAGAGTCACTGGATGGTATTACACAGCTGAACTTTTGTCCTTTTCTATTTTCTATAATACAATGGTTTAGGTGAATAAAAGAATAAGACATATATTTGGCTCTTTGTCTTTTCGATTTCCCTAGTAGTGCCTGATTGTCAGATACGATTTTAGAGGTTATATTTTCTGTCAAATCAATCATAGCCGTAGATGGACAATGGGTATAGGGTACAAACACCCAATTCAATTTATGATACACTTCTAACAGAACAACTGTTATATAAATGAAAAGAATGCATGTAACAACATTTTAATATTCGAAAATATACACATATGGATGAACTTTTATAGCTATAATTCCTTATTATATGTGAAACTGTACTCCAGTGATGAGTATAAAATATGATAGATAGATATTCTCAATATACAGGAAGTAAGAAAAGTACTTTCAAGTGAAGTATTCCTGAGACAATTATAAGAAATAAAGTCTATATAAGCTTTTGTGTCCGGAAATGCATCATTTCGTAGATACAGAGTGCTGAAATACAAAGAACAAATCATTTTTCGATAAACATTTGATAGGAAAAAAGTAGTTTATTTTGACGAGACCTACCAAATACTTGGTTTTGTAAAGTTCTCAGCAACTCCACTTAGCGCCCTAGGAGCTAATATGGTAACATGGATCGATATAGAAAATATCTCCAAAACATTATCCTCCAGCGTAATTAAGGCCCTTATAATAATTCCCTTGATAGGTACATAAATAACTATTCACTGTCCACTGTTGAATTTTAAATTTGGTCGGCACCAAAAACGCCATTCAATAATATATCACTCTGTAGTTTACTTGCTTTTCTTAGTTTCGTTTTCAAATTCTCAATTTCATTATGTAATTTTGCGATCATTTCCTCTTTTCCATGATCATTTCGTTTTGTATTTTGTGTGATGATAATAATGGAAATTTGTTCTCGAAATCGCCTGCTTTGTAAATTGACGGAACAGCAGATTCTCACAAACAGAATTTGAAATCTTCTGTTTGAAGATGGGCCTAAAATATAGTTTCATTCTAATCAGATGCTGTCATAAAAAGTGAATTTTAATGAGTACCTCACAAATTTCGCTCGTCTTCAAATTGATTTTGCACCCATCAGGCCATTTCAAATCTTCCTTCCATAAGCGAATGGTTGATATTTGTTTCGGAAAATTGAATAAATGATATCCATTTTCTTCAGAATTGGCACAATTTATTATACAGCAAGTAATTTCCATATCTGCTTTCATCTCGAATGTATAATTATGAAATTTTATTTCAATTCTGACGTTTATAAAATGTATTGTCAAATTCAAACAATGTGACTCTAGACAATATTATGCTCTCGCCTACTAACTACCTAACTAGGTTTCCATTTAGATCGACAATGGTTTGACAAACTGAGAGAATTAGGAGAAATATACAAGTTTGTGCAGTTTCCAACTGTGAGAACACGGGAAATCAATTCACTCTATTCGAATTTCCATCGGATAACGTAATTCTACAAAAATGAAAACAGAATATGATGCAGCTGGCATGGAATATAGGTTCAGGCCACAAAATTTGCGAGGTATTTGAATTTCTTGGTAGGAAGTTGAAGAATAGGATCGTATTGAGAGAAAGAGTCGAACCCACAATTTGTAAACTGAGCAAGTATCGAAAAGAACCTTATTCCAATTTAAACTCTGGTTATTGCTTGTGATGGAATGATGGAGCAGAAATCACAATAGCCACCATGGAGATCATAGTCGATGATCTGATGATGAAATAGCAGCAACTTCCTGAATTGACTGACTCAAACTGATTTCACATTCCTGTTCAACCAAGAATTCTTCAGATCATCTTCGTACACGAACTCTTATAATAATTTTGTGAAAACATATAGTCACTTTGTGGAACTCTGATGTACCAGATATTGATGTATCTATATCAAAGAGTTGAATATATTGTTCGTGTATCACTTCTTCAAAGTTGAAATCCCAAGACTGAATGTGCATGTTCATGCGTAGTTGAGAAGTGCTAGACGACTACATAGCTCCTAGTGGATTTTGAACCACTTCTTGGGTACCAAGATACGAGCAAGATATTATCAGAGCACAGAACAAAAACGCTTAACAAGTGCCCCATTTATGTTGGGTGTTGGAAATGATCTTCCGATGGCCAGGATCAACCAACAATCCCCTTTAGCAATGTGAACGGCGATCTATAGTGAGTCGAGCGCTGAAGTCCACGTATACCTACTTCTGTATGTCTGGGAGAACCTATATTATTCATCCTAACTGAATTCAGCTGTTATTGTTGCCATATCATTTTGTTTACTTATTAATTACTTATTACCTACCACTCTTGTACAAGTGAAATTGTTCCACACTAAATAAAAGTATGTTTCCTGAAATGTATCAGTTTTTACCCCATTCTGAACTTTTGTTATTAACAAATATTCAACTGAACGAATATATATACCAACATATAAAAGACTAATTTAATAGGAATACTATATGTATTTCGTAGATATATATTATGTACCTACTTACATGATATCGACCTCCATTGAGGTCCTTCAGCCTTATCATTCAATATTTCGAGAAGAAATAATTTTCTAATCAAATCATCGTACCCTTTTACTCACTTGAGGAGGCGCTATGCACTCTCATTGAAAAATCAAAGACAGAGAAAGATATAGGATGTACTCTTCCCAGGACTTGTGGAGGACGGAAGATGCGAGGATCCTTTATCTAAGCGAAAAACATATTCTTGTCCTTGTCTGGCAAAACATATGATTAGCTTCAAAATCGTTTGTGGTTATGTTTGATTGGCACTGCTTGTCTAGTGTCCGTACTTAAAAAAAAAAACGTCAAAACAAAAGTGTCAAGTACATTAAGGAACTCTAGGCGGTACTAGAACGTGAGGTCAATGACAGAGTCAAAAGTCTCAAAATTTTGCCGGATAGCCCTAAAGGCATGTAAATGAATAGAAAAACTCAAGCTATGGTGAGACATGAGCAGACTTGCGTTTTTCACTCTCGATATGGAATTTCACATGCAATTCTTACATGGACAGAAAAGAAAGATATCATAGGAATATTCCAAATGACACGGAAAAAATAACTATATTTATTAGTTCTACTAACTCTGAACTCACTTCTCAGTAGCGCGATCTGGTAGGGAATGGAAAATGTTGGCCTTCATTATATCTCTTATAATATCTGAGGTTCTTTGAATAAGAACTATTTATTTAGGACCCCTGGACCGATATGAGAGAAGACACCAGAAACATAGCAAGCTGGCCTCTTCTAGTAGTGGTTGTAGATGAGCAAGATACACCTCCTGTGTTCTCTATAGCCCCACCAACGACCACTCTCAGCCCAAGCCTACGTCCCGATGATGTGATCCTCAGAGTATACGCTGAGGATGGCGACCGAGGGAATCCAAGGGCTATCGAGTACAGATTGCTGCCTAATGATGATAATTCAGGGACTTTCTTCAACATGGACGAGAATTCAGGTAGGGAAAGAATACATGGTTTGAAGATTTTGATGCACATATTATGATCTCGGGCAGTACGAATTATCGATATCTGAACAAATTCCTTCTAGGATATGTTTTGACGCTTTATGTGTCCTCACCAAGATGTCGCCTAGTGTGCTATTCCAGATGCCGCCTGGGATGAGCTCATCAAGGTATTTCACACACAAACATTCTCATTAAATACCGTTGAGCGTTGGCTGTTCGCCACTGACGAAATAAGGTGTTACAACTGAATTTTAAAATCTACTATTAGGTTAATTCAACACTTTCAACAGCTCGTTCTGAAGGTTCCGACTAACGTATTATTATCCGTTTATGATTCTACTTATGTGCTGAATCAGTTGAGGTAATCGTGATGACGTGGAGACGGTTGTTATCACGCAAATGATACCGAAATTGGCCAATATGTTGATGATAGGTCTTCGTATTATTGTATATAACTACCGGGGAGACTCCCCACGAGCAATTTACATGTTTTTTGAAATACCCTATGTTTAAAAAGTTTGAGATAGTATAATTGTCAACGAAACGAAGTTTAATGTATGTTGAGATATCGAAATAATAAAATGATAGGTGAGGTTGTGTACCATACGATCATGTGGACAGAAGATCCTCGAAATCTCACCCGACTACATATCCTTTTGCTTTTGAGTGCTTGCAACTACAAGTTTTTCGAAATAGTTTCATACATAACAAAGTGAGGTGGACTCTGGTGGATCAATATTAATGCTGGCGAGTTTTAGATATTTGCGCACATAGCCTCAACCTCAATTGCTACTGGTGAGATCTTCAAGGGCTTGAAACTATCAGTCAATCAAAGTAATCGCACATACAGCCTTGTGGCGATGACTTTGTGAGCGAGACGCACATCAGTTTCTACTGGCGATGTCTTCAATTCTTCGGCTAGGGAGTATTCATTGGCTGTAAGCGCAGTCGCTCTTCGAGCTTCGCGATATTGGATCTCACATATATCGATGATCGATGAGTAAGATCATATCGATAACTATTGATTTATCGATATCGATAGCTATTGATATATCAATTATTAATTTTCAAATATATCGATATATCGATTTATTGCCAGGCCTGACTCAAAATATCCTAATTTTGCCTTTAAACCATAGGTTATAGAATGTTCAACCAAAACAATTGAATCGGCATAAGAACTATACCTATACCTACGCGATATATTTTCACGCCTGAACGAAGGGTGGCCTTTTGATAATCATTTCATTTCGAGTTTTTTAAAGAAATAAGAATATTATCGTGAGAATACCTAATGAGAATAAAAAACCCTGAATAATTGAGTATTCTAAAAATATTATAACTATTATCTGGATATTACAGAAGTGTCTAGGGGTCACACAATCAAAATAAATTCATTTGCTTCAATAAATTGGAAAAAAATCGATAGTTATCGATATATCGATAATTCGATAGCTATCGATGAATTGATAGTTATCGACAAATCGATAGTTATCGATGAAACATATTTTTGAAATAATATATCGTTATTCGATGTATCGATATACCGATATATTCATCAATTTATCTATATTTTTTCCCAGAATTTCAGTTCGAACATATCCACAAAAAACAGTGAAATCCCCTGAAGTACAAGAAAACTGGAAAGAATGTGTCAATGACAGCATCAAACAATCAAACAAACATTTAAAAAACCTTTTTCACGCTCAAGAGGAAGATACTGATCTGAATCAATCATATAAAATTTAAAAAAGGAGTACAATGAGCTCGTCAAAATCACAAAATGTGAATTTCAGTACAACAAAAAACATACCTCTCCCAACATTGAAGAAACAACAAAAATGCTCCACGAATAAAAATTTCTTCCTGAAATCAAATAATGAAGAAACTAAAGACCCACTAGTAATACGCAAAGCCTCGAATAACTTTGTCGTAAATGCTTAATAAAAAACACTTTTGTGGTTCTGATGAAATTTCAGGTTAGTTGATAGAAGAAGTTGCTTATTACATAATCGAACTCCTCACCAATATAATCAATTATATATTTTTCAAGAGGGTATATATCCTACCAGATTGGTCTGTCTCGTCTATTTGAAAAAAATCAGAACTGCAAATTCAGAAAATCATGCTCCAATTACAGTGCTCTCTTACTTTGAAATTGTGGAATATTCTATGATGTCCAACTTCTAGTCTGTTCAAACATGAATAACTGGCTGCAATCCGATAAACATGGTTTTCGCCATACAGAGGATACTTAGTTTGATCAATCAATCAATCAACAAGCAGTGCTATTCACTCTTTTCATGAAAACATTTCAAAATCAATTGAATCTGGACAAAATCTAACTAAAGTGTTCTGCAATCTCAGTCGAATAGTTCAGTTCCATCCTTGAAGGAAGAATTCGGCTTGGTGAAATCAATCACACCAACAAAGATAATACAATAGCTCATATCTCAAGTCTACAAAAAAAAACAACAATAGTGTTATCCGAGGGACCATCCTAGCATCTGTACTTTTCTTCACGTATCTATATAAATGAACTATCGATCATCAATTGTTTTGCTACGCTACCCTGCTTTTCTTTGACGAAGTCTCACTTAGATTTCAAAATGAAATGAACAACACAACTGATGTCCTTCCTAGTTGGCTGAGCAACAACTCCCTATGTCTAATTACATCAGGAACAAGTTTCTCCACTTTCTTCAACAGATAAAACACTTATCTACCTTCCTTGGACTAAAACATCTGCGACACACCTCTTGAACATAGTACATCCTTCAAATCATAGGTATCATAATAAACAATGATCTCAGCTTCGAAGAACATTGCAAAAATCTAACTAGCTCTTAACACTCCAATTATTACCAAATGAGATTCCTGAAAATAATGTCTTCGACACACTACTAATTGTTCGTCAACATTGATTGTCTCTACAGTGGTTGTCAAAATTTCCTTCCCTACACAAATTCAAAAACTTGAACAATTACAAAAACATTGAATAAGGGAAAATAACAAAAACGTAAAATTATCAAAAAACTATCCAGAGGTATAACTTTTATTTTGAATTATAGTACAGCTTCGCGTTTTTTAAAAGCGAATTGCCAAAACTGCCATGAACACAAACAACATTAGTTTCATTGAATAAGTTTTTTGAAACCTTTCGAAAGAGTTGTCGCTTGCCGTAGGGTTCCATTTGAAATTTTTGGTAACAATGGCCTTGTGACGCCTTCTTTGACGATTTCGTCATCTATTATCACTTGTAAGGAACTTTACAGGCTTTGATATTCAGTTTCCAAATTTCATTTATTTATGTATAATTGTTCCGATGATAAGGGGAGGGGAGGGCACTTTTGAGAAGCACAGTATGTTACTTATATTTTCTATTTAGATGACACTCATGCAGACATATTTTTAATGATGAACATCTCATTCTGTTCAATTTTTCTATAATCTCGTCGAAAGATCACATCCGTTTTTATTTTCGAATATCATATCAACAACTTCTTGAGAAATTCATTTGCAGCCCCATTTAGTTCAGACGAACGGTCTCCGTATAGAGAAAAACATTTACGTTTCTGAGTTTTCACTAATCACCTACCATATTGTCTGTGTTGTATCAGGGTGAATTATTGTTTCAAGTGTATCGACCCGGTCCTGTAGGTTGAGTATTTTTCCAAAGCGTGAACTGAATTATCCACCCGCTTAAACTTGCAGACCATCAGATAAATCAAATGGAGCAAAAAACATCATGCTTTCTGTTTTGTTTTGTTTATCGAAGTTTTCCCTCCTAACTGCCTACTCAATGGTGCATCGGAAACATTTGAAGAACTCTTGCGTGTTCGGAATATGAAAAGTTTCACTACACAGTATATAAAAGAGGGAAAGTCTGCGTGTCGTCCACAGCATATTCTAATTTACATGAACGAATAAATACAAGTGATAAACCATTGAATTACGGTATGACCCATTTTGTTCCTCATTTGAAAATCGATTTTGATTGCCCTGTCCACGACTGGACGTCAATCGATAAAAATAACATGGGTAGACATAATTATGATTTTCTATCCCAATATGAATTTTCGTTATTTTAGTTCGAATGATTTTCAAGGTGAATGTATGGTATGACGGATGAACCTTCAATATTCCATTTCGAATAGCTTTCGAAGTAATCTTTCTGAAGAAAAGGATACATTCAGTAAAATCGTCGCAAATAAGGGGGGTTACCTTGCATCAAATAAGGTAGTTCTGATTTTTTGATATGTTGTATATGATGAATGGCTAATGATAAATGTAAGTTTTCGACCTCGAAAGACCACCGGATCATTTTGAAATACTAGGAAAACCGCAAAATTTCCGGATTTTCCTCAGTTTTTATAAATTAGGACCCAATTTACGTTAAAAGTGACTATGTATTGGAGTAGACTGAATTTGCAATAAAATGGGACAAAAATGGTTTCTGTAACGCAATACTTTTCGAGATACAGCTAACTTGAGTTTTGATGATGTGATCTCCAGTTTCGACCTATCCACTATTTCAAATTTACAAGAACATGAGCAATTTCAAGCTCTTCGAACAGAATTCACTAATGCACTTTTTACTCTCGAACATGATGGTCTAACAGCAAAGCTCTGGTTGCAATATATACGAATGGTTACTTTGGTTGAACAATTCATTGAGGCAGAGCGGATGGGAAACTGGGATCTCCATCTCGATACCATTCAAAAAGTGCTGCCATTGTTTCATGCCAAGTGCGCCCACATGTATCTCCAAGATATGCTTGTATTGAAAGAAAAAATGGATCCTTTGAAATACAAACTATTCACGAGTGAAGGGTACTTCACCATCCGACTCACCAAGAAGTTCTGGTCAGGAATATGGTCGAATATGACTATTGACTATAGAACAGGTCCTGATGAGAACTATGAAAAGCTTTGGAGAACTGACCAGAGGTCGGGGAATCATTGACAGTATTCCAACCAGATGGACTTTA